GATCCTCCCAGACCGGGGCACGAACCCGTGTCCCCTGCATCGGCAGGGGGACTCTCAACCACTGCGCCACCTGGGAAGCCCAATTTAGGTGGTTTTTAAAGAGAGAGTGGCGGGGCTGGTGAGGGAAGACATTTTTGGTTAAAACATTAGTGTGCTGATTATAAAGTCATACAGATGGATTGTAAGCTAATCACTGAATTAAATGTTAGATATCTTCTGTGAGATTCATAAGTACCTTATGACTAATTCATTAATAAAATAACTTGAACTTATAGAAGCCTATATAGGAATATATTTGTTTCTTTGTTTGTTCTACTGCAGAGGAAAGTATTGTAGAAAGACCTGTTTTGAAAGTTCAGCCATGTGGCTGAACCTACTGATAGTGTGGAAAATATCAAATGTAACTATTTTTTCCAGCACTGCTACTATCAGCTTATTTCAATTTTCTGAGTGACTCTCCATATTTTATAAAAGAACAATGATTCTCAACTTGGTTTCTTAAAATGCTAAGGATCCATAAATAAGTAATGAAAAATTATAACCTATATCTTGTGTTTCCAAAATTTCAACAGAAATTGTGTGTTTCACAAGGGGACTTTTAAGGGTAAAGTGGCTTTTAATTGAAATTTTCACCATTTTGAGAGGTGTGACTCGTCATTAACTCTAATGAATTGTTTTATATGCGTGTGAGGATTTAAAAAGAAAAAAATGTATATTAATACATTTAGGTAAATATACGTAAGTTATATATTTTGGCAGGCAAAATATTGTGAATAATGGGGTAGAGTATTGATGAAAAAATCTGGGACACTTTGAAACACCCTTAGGTACTTTAAAAATGATTGGAGTTGAAAACAGACATATTGGATTGGCCAAAAAGTTCGTTCAGTTTTAAGTAAAAATAAAAGACACATTTTTCATTTTCACTAGGAACTTTATTGAACAACATATTCATTAACCGAGTGACCTTTTTGGCCGACCCAATACATATACCTTCAAATTATTCACAAAATTTTTTAATACTCAACTCTTTGATATTGCATATGCTATTAAAGTATAATGTCATATGACATAAGGTTAATGCAAGGGTTAAGTTTTTTTAAAACACCTGGTGACTTTGATTGTACAGAAGAGCCATTCCTTTTGAAAAAGTTGATAAATGGACTGAACTGTTAATAGACTGAATATTTTCAAATGGTAACTTGATCTTGTGAATATTTGTTTCAAAAACATCAGTAGAATGAAAAGTAATGGGAAGACACAGATGTATTAATCTAAGATGTAGTGTGCATTACTTACTTTAAACTGCTACTCCTTGTTCAGAATCCTGAGCAATCATCACCCCCGAAGGATGTTCCTGACACTTTCCTCCCACTTCAGGCTCGTGCTCTGATCCCATATAGCACAGTGTATTCAGCCCTACGTGTCCCTCACACTGTATTCTACCCACAAAATCTCTTCTCTGTTTCCTCTCTAGATGACAAGGTCCTATATGACTGGGCCTTTGTATTGTTTAACTTTGAACTCTTAGCATCCTGCAGAGAGCGCAGATTCAGAGATAGTTCTCAGTGCATGGCAATAAGTAACTTGAGTATGTCTAACAAAAGTTGGAAGCATGATTTCTGTTACAGAACAAATTCATAATTATAAAACATAACCTGGAGTAAGGACTATTTTGCTTATTTAAATATTCTCAATAATGTAACATTACCATGTTTTGAAGAACTCAAAGGTAATAAAATAAATTTAGCCCAAATTGAACTCTATTAATATAATACATTTATCTCAATATTCTACTAATTAATCATACACTGATAATTTGGAAGAGACTTCTTATCATCTTATAGTCATAATTTCAAGTATATTTTATTATTTTGTTATAGAGGTATATAAGTGCAAGCCCCACTACTTTTCATTTTTTAATGAATATAAGTTTAGAAAAATCTTTTCTTTAATTTTGATATCATCTGAACCAACCAGCAGGA